GAATGGGTCTAGATTGGCTTTCGATGGCTACGGAGGCTTCTGGCGGCGGAACTCCCGATCTATTGTGCTCCCCGGAAGTTTTACGATATGTAGGTATATATGGGTGAAAGGAGTACATCGGTGGACCAAAGGGGGGGCCACGAGGCAGGGGGCATGCCCCCTACCCTCGTGAGCTCCTCCTTCATCTTGTGATGTAGGGTCCAAGTCTATCCGGTAGGTTTCCTTCCAAAAATAACTTCTCCAGTTGATTTCGTTCTGTTTCGACTCCGTTTGATATTCCTTTTCCTCGAAACACTGAAATAGGCATAAAACAGCAAATCTGGGCTGGGCCTCCGGTTAATAGGTTAGTCCCAAAATAATATAGAAGTGGATAATAAAGCCCAATATTGCCCAAAACAGTAGATAATATAGCATGGAGCAATCAAAAATTATAGATACGTTGGAGACGTATCAGGCGCCTACTGTCCAATGAGTGGATGACATCTGTCCCAAGGTGAGCCAACACGTGGTTCCTCCGGCCAATAAGAATTTTACACATGGAAAATCCCCATTGGTCCAGGCTGTTAACGGGTTATCGGATCCAAAACAGGACCCGATAGCTTAACGGCGACTTGTTACGGTGGATGCCACGTGTCGGTTACCCTTGACGAAAGCACTTCCATGACGCGCCGTTTACCATCACGGAAGTGGACACTACCATGATGATAATTTAGGCAATGTCATGGAACACTTCTACGACAGCACGTGTATGACTATCTTGATTCTGTCATAAAATCGTCATGGATGTACATGCATGACAGAAAACTTGACCTATTGTGACAGACACGTATCATCACGGAAGTGTATTTTTTTAGTGCAAGAATGTGGTAAGGTCTATGAAATCATTTTTATTTTGAAGTACTATATGCATGTGTCTTACTATACTCTATTCATGTAGAACAAGTGCTTAAACCTAAAGAACAATTGTTCTCATTTAAGATTCCATTGCTATGGTGCATACTGATTTGCTCTTCTATCACTATATTTACTCCTACAAACTTATTTCTAAATTGAAGGATCCAGTCGAAACTCCAATGGCACAACAGGTATGTTTAAACATGTTTCTTTAACTGGTTTACTCTTCTAGATTTCTCTATTGATTTCAATTTCAATTGTGTATACAGTTGACTTCTCATATCATGCACATTACTAGCATCACAACAGAGCCAATAGTGTTGTTGTACATGTATACCCGTGGTACCCATCTGAAATCTTGTTGTGTCGTGTAGTTTTCGGCACTTGTATTCCTTCAATGATGCTTTGTCTTGAACTGATATGATTTGAACTGTGTCTCTATTTTGATTTGTCAAGACAATGCAGTGACCATAGCACATAGGTATATGTTTGTTTGATGCTTTTATTATGTACTACTTCGCAATAGAGGACTTGGTAGTTTAATCATGTCCACCTTACTATTGAACGGGTTCACCGAAATGAGCTTCATACACTACATGCTAAACCTGTTATGTGTCTGCTTGTTTCTTCTTTTAGAATGCTGACAAAATATTGGGGAAGAGTACCTTATTAAGCAATGGTAAAGGAAGTAATGGAGATAAGGTTCAGGATAGTGAGACATCCTTGTTGTTCTCCAACAAAGTTGATAAAATAGCTAAGGAAAACTATCTTGAAGATAGTGAGACAACCCCAAAGTCTTGTCTTGATGTAGTGTTCAAGTTGCTGGCCATTACCGCTGGCACGAGCTCTTTGAACTCACTGTCTGAATCAGTTTGGTTTCTTGAGTCTCAACTACAAGCTGAAATACATCGATCAGCTGTGTTGTGACAAGAAGCCGAAGGACTGAGGAAGTCCCTAGAGAATTCAGATGCATACTTTCTGTTGCAACAACAAGCGTTGGAGGATTCTAGCGCCAAACAGGAGAAACCTGATAACCTTGATAAGCTTATTGCCAGCATGGTGGATACCCAGGATAACGTTTCTTGAGTTCTTCTGAAGTTGTTTAAGTTATGGACTTCTTTTGCTGTTGCGTTTATTTGCGCTGGTGGCCAATTTAGATGCCCAATGTATGTAATAAGCTACTTTATTCCCTATATTTGCACTGGTGGCGAACTTTGATGCCTAGTGGATGTAATATGTGTAATAGTCGTTATAGCCTAGCGTATTTGCTTGCTTATTTCTTTCCTTGTTGTCTTGTTTATTTATTTGGTTGTGGTCACTGCAGTTCTTTTTCTGCGGTTTGCTAGTGGCCACAATAAAATATTCTTTAAAAGTAGGCCACAATAACCATGGGCAACATACAGACCCTTGTAACCATGGTTCTGCTGCCTACTATATATAGTGACCACGGGCCTCCTACGGGCTATAGGATCCACGGTCCTCCTTCGGGCCGTAGGATCCATGGGCCTTCTATGGGCCATAGAATCAATGGGCCTTCTACGGGTCATATGATCAATTGACCAAACATGGGTCGTACTATTCGTGGACCAATAACGGACCGCAATATGGGCCGTAAACGGGCTAGATTGGAAATCGTCTGTTTATGGTCTGGCCATAACGGGTCATTAATAGGATGATATGTATAACGGGCTTAATTCTATCGACAGGTATATCGGGTCGTTAATGGGCCGTATTTGATAGCACTATGAAAACAGCATAACGGGTTAATAGGCCACAAACGAGTCGACTGTAACCACGGGTTCAATTTGGCCCACAAGCGGAACAGGCTAGTACTGGACTGTAAGTAATCGAATTCTGGAAATGAGCCGAAGAATAAATGGGCCCTTAAAAGGCTGAAAGATAACACAGGTTGGAAATGGCCCAATGGAATAATGGGTCGTTAATGGGTATAAAGCGATACACTGTTCATTATGGGCCAGTTTCACCACGAGTTGTTAATGGACCCAGAGTTACAAAGGGCCTCATATGGGCTGAAAGACGTCATGGCCCATACATGGGCTGAAAGTTACAACAGGCTGAAATCATATTGGACGGCCCAGATGACGTTACTGGGCCTAATTCGGATAGGCCATAACGGACCATGAGTTAACGGGCTATAAATGGGCTATATGCAAACATGCTATTAACACGCTTTCCGTGGGTCGGGCCGCTTCCTTTTGATCAAGTCAAACGGGCCTGCCTTTTGACCTGCATGGGCCACTGTTGGGTCGAGCCACATGTCGACGTATCATAGGTGCGTCCCGTCCATTCGTTGGATAACATTTGTCACAATGCGGAGTTGAAACATGGTTCTTTCGGCCAATGAGAATTTTACACGTGAAAAATCGCCATTGGTCATTGTTGTTAATGGGTTATCAGATCCAAAACTGGACCCGATTTCTTAACGGCGACCCATTACGGTGGATGCCACGTGTCGGTTACCCTTGAAGAAAACACTTCCATGACGCCCCATTTATCGTCATGGAAGTGGACACTTCCGTGATGATAATTTGAGTATTGTCATGGAAAACTTCTACAACAGCACAGCTATGACTATCTTGATTCTGTCATAAAATCGCCATGGATGTACATGCATGATAGAAAACGTGACCTACTATGGAAAACACGTATCATCACGAAAGTGTTTTTTTGTAGTGATACCGTTATGAGCGGAGTCTTGCAAAGTGCAATCACCATTGTCGCTTGGCACACATCAAATCCAACATTGACATTGTTTATCACTTGATTTATGATGCTACATAGGCCTCATGGTGAACTGCGGTATAGTGATTATGTAAGCGTAAGAGAATCGAGGCACTTTTAGTAAGAAAAAAAATCAGAGGCATGGGAAGTGCCACAAATATAAAGCTATATTGCGGAGAGATATAATAGGAATGGAGTAGCTCCTTGCATGAAAGAGAGAGCAGATGCTATGATGCATCGCTCTATTGACCACTCGAGTTTGCAGAATATGAAGATAACATCAAAATCCATCAATGCATATTGATCCCTTGAGCGAGTGGAACTAGAAAAAATGAAGAGGTAGGGAAACAGTGGAGAAGATAAAGGATATTGTCAACAAGATGCCGCTCTGTGCAAAAAAAGTGAAAAATAATAATGATATGGCTTCACCAAATTTCTAAAAGATGTAGATCGTAAGTATATGCACAAGCAAGATGCTAACTCGTAAATGTTTAGTTGGTAAGAAACTAGTGTACACTTTATGTAGTTGATTCAATAGCATTTTAACAACTTTATCATGTGTTTCAACTACATATATCGCTTGTTCAACAACAATGTTTCAACTGCATCACGTGTTTCAATTGCACTTTTTAAACTGTGTCGTCTATTCGAGCTACTATATAAATTGCAATGTTTGGGACACAACTATTTTTTTCAACTGCACGTATTCAACTCTATCATGTGAACTTCAAGTGTGTCTCAACTAGTACAACAAAGTAAGGATCGTCTAATTAACATTTATTTTTTGTTTTAGTTGATTTGCTGGCCACACTTCTTCCTCCACTAGTGGTTTCCTCTTCCAACTGACCCATTCGTATCGTCAACAGCACCGCCGCCTCCAACCTAACTAACAACGCTTTCGCATGTTGCCTCACTACCCTTTCTTGTCTGATTTGCCACCGCTCATGACTTCCCTCTAATTCCCATCCACCATGCCATATATTCCATCGACAACCACACACCTCTCAGTCTGAACCTATCAACCCTCTGTTAGTCCTCCATGGAGATCCCGAGGCCAGCAGCATCGTTTCCGTCTCAGGCACATTAGAGACGTCGTCGCTGGTAGTCTCACATTTGACATTCCCTCGTTTTTCTACCTCTTCTCTACCAAAATCTACTGAAACAATTTCCCGAGGATTAGCAAATGTGAACAAAGTAATGTACCTCCCCAGATGGACCACTTAAATTACCTTTATGAAGTTCTCAAATCAAACAAACTACATAAGCACAACACACTTACAATCACATTGTTCTCCTTAGACATGAAATCCTCTGGGGACATATATGTCTCACTTGAATCTAGCCAGTTGATTGAGGGTGACCACCTACTGGTCCCGCATGGCAAACTCCCTCAAGGCCATCTGCACCATGTCGATGTCATCAGGGTCGCTACCGCTACCACTACCTCTGGCAAGGCCACTCGAACCAGCCGCGTCCATGTCGTAGTAGTAGGACCAGCCTCCAGCTCCACCACCCACATTGCCCAGTTGGTTGTTGGCGGCAGACTCACGGTGCATCTCTACCACTGCCGGGAGGGTACGTTGTCCAGTGAACGCATACATGTTTATGCTCGCATTGGCCGCCTGCTGGATGTCTTGCTCACTAACCATCTGCGTCGGTGACAAGCCGTACGGCAGGCAGTTGTTCAGGTGCGCATTGGGAGGGATGCAGTACGAGTACCCCTCATTTTGCCTATCAGCGGCATTCAAATTTGGTGCCCAGTAGTGCATGTTTGTCGGGTTCAGGTGGTAGTACATACCAATCATTGCCGGATTGGGGTAGGTCAGGTGTGCATGCTCGGTAGGGGCGATGACGACGGCAGTATCTCTACCGGCCATCCCCATCTGCCCACCGTGCTCTTGGTCATGATACAATGGTGGGGACACCGAACGTGTATCCGCGGGTGATCCGGTGTGCGGCTCCACGCTGCGGATGTACTGCGCAAGAAGGCAGAGCTGGCCGGGAGGTGGTTTCTTGCTATTCCTCTTCTTGATCTGGCGCTTCGCATTTAGACTGCGCTTGGTGGCATTCCAGTGGTTCTTGATGGCGTTCTCCGGCCGACCGGAGAGTAGCCGGGCGATCACCGACCAGCGGTTCCCCCACGTCTGATGCGCCTCGATCAGCTTGATGTCTTCCGCGTCAGTCCAGATTTTCCTCTGCAAGGGAAGTATTTGTAAGTTAATTAATTATGGCATAGCATTCCATTGAAATACAATTGAACACACCACCACACACTGAAAGTAGTATCTACTACCTTTACTTTTTTAATGAAACACGACACTCATGTGCACGGAAGCATTATTTATTTAGAAGTCAACCTAGTGTCATTTTTATACCATGCATGGATATGTCGTGCATGCATCCACCATTCATCATTGCTTTGAGATTTATCTTACCTTTTTGTTTGTTTGCAAAATTCGTGTTGTTCAAGAGTACCAAAATTGTATTGAAATATTTATCTTGTTTCAAAATGCATCATAATGTTTTTTCGTGTACCAACAAATAAAAATGAACTTGTTTCAGATAAGGTTTTTGTTGGTACATAATGGAGCCAATAATGCTAGACCTATAAAGTTTTACTTAACCTTCCAAACTAATTCTCTCTCTCCCCGCTGATTTTAAGTGGGGTGGTCCCCCCTCATCCTCCTATTATCAATCACAATCCTCCACTTCAGTTTGTAGGTAAAATCTTTAAGTAAACCTTTGTAGATGTAGCATTACTTGTAATGGAACATTACTTCCATTATGTTACGCATTGAAACAAAAAAATGCAACACTCTGAAACAAGATAAAATTCGCCAAGATCGGAAAACATAGCTAGAATATCCAATTATCTAAGGAATCTCAAAGTATCTCAGGAATCTATCGGTTAGAAAATTTCCAACTAAGCCTGATACTCTCACAAAATTGCTATATGCCACATATAAATTGATGAAATGGTGGAATGAGCCTGATAGAAAAAATGGAAATAAAAAAAGTTAGTATGTGGATAATTATTTGGAGAGGATCGGCCCATACAAAAAAGGGCATGTCTTATTTACTTTGCAGATATCTTATTAAAATTACACATATTTTGCGTGTGCAACAATTTTCGGAATCATATGGTGTAATTTGAGGTGCCCGAGATTTACAAAACTTTCAAAAAAATCCAGTTAGCAATATCGATTATATCACAATTGCAAGTGTCAATTTTATTTATAGATTTTATGCTCTTTTTGTTCGAACAAGGAAAAATATTTACATTTTTATTGATTAACAAGAGAAGTTTGTAAACTAACAACCACAAAGGCACCAAATTACTCTCCTGCATTACATTACTCAAATGCTTAGCCCCCATAATATCCCAAGGAGACGCCTCATCTTGGATGAGGTGAATAATGACTGCCATCGGCCTCACTTTCTTTTGAAAGACACACGTGCTCCTTTCCTTCGATATCTCCCATCCAACAAGAAGGAGCAAAGAATGTAAAGATTTCCTCGGTTGCCAATTATTGAGGAGGACTTCTTTCCACCAAGACTTCATCATCTCAATATGATGACAAAGCATCATACTAGCATGAAGACCAATATAAGAGACCACGTTGTTCCAAACTTGAGGCAAGAACCGACACTTGATGACAAGGTGAGCCACCAATTCTTACACTTGGTTGCAAAGAGGGCACTGGTCGCAATTTGGTCACTCCCAACGTTGCACCCTCTGTCGTTCAAATCTTATTTTAGATGGCAAACCAAGCCAAGAACTTACATTTTAGGATGCCCAAACCTTTCAAGCCGTGGCATGCAACTTGGATCAGATGAGGCCAACGAACTGAGCCTTGTAAGCCGACGAGGCGGTATAATTCCCGTGGTTGATCAGCTTTCTCATGGTTGTATCTTGGATGTCTAGTTGGATGATGACATGCATTGGCAAGTTTGTCTTACTGAATGAAGAATTATTGGATGTGCTCTAGTGTGAGGCCTCCTTGACTACCAACCTATAGAACCTAAAACTTATCTCTTAAAACCTTGGTCGCCTCCATAGGTGGCATGGGCGGAAACAAATGTCCACCGCCGGCACCCCTTCCTCTGCGTCTCCATCTCGCCGTCACTGGCTTATGCCACTGGGCAAAGGCTGCCGATGGTGGGATCCTCCACTTTGTGCGGCACTGGTGGTGTGTGTGTGAGGTCCGTGGTGATCAATGCAGAAATTGCATGGAGCCTCAGATCGAAGACGTCTCCTGCATGCTGCACTTACTTGTCTTGGCCGCTACTATGATGCTCTGCGCTCGGTAGGTACAATAACAGGTGGGTGGTGGACTTGGTGGCTACGACCGGCGGTTCCATGGCCTAATTTGGGCGTTGTGGCTCGCCGTGTTGTGGAGGAAGCGTGGGAGCCGTGGCAGCGACCCGGGTCTCTTATGCAGCAACGACGATCATGGTGACGGCCACGACGGGTGCCCTGGGCACCCGGCAAGGCAGCAGACGGCTATTCCATCATGGTTGTGACGGCGGCATGGGGTCGGCCATGATGGCTGGTGGTTGCAGATATGGAGTTCCCGACCCAGATTTGTTCCCCTCTGGCAGCAGTCCTAGGGTTCTTCTGGTGCCAAGACGATGTTCTGCTTCATGCGAGCCCTCATTGATTTGGCCATTGACGACTTCTGGAAGGCTTCGCCGGTGTTTTGTTTTCTACTGGGTGTTTGACGCCTGTAGATTGCTGGATCAGATGGGATTTGCTCGTGTGCGCCCCTATTTTAGAATGTTTGGCTTTAGGAGGGCGTGACGTGAAGCTTCGTTGTCTGTTACATTATGGGACATGTTGGTATTTCGATTTCCATGATGAAGAGAGTGGTGAAGAACATCATGGTGGCTGAGGTCTGAGGCCTAGTAATGGCAGATCGGGTCTTTGTGGCGATGAGGACTTTGCTTGGTGATTCATGACTTGTAGCAGCGCCATCGGCAAGTGGGTGCGGCAGCATAGGCGGAGTACAAAGTCTTAGCTTTCTGGATGAAAACTCAAGTCCTGGCCGTAATTGGTAGTTCTTGGCAGTGACCTTGTTGAAGGCATTGTTTTGAGAGCATGGATCTTCTCCAGGGTGAAAACCTAAGATCTAGGAACGGATAATGATGGTTCATGTGCACTATTTCCTTCTTGAAGGCATCGCTTTTGGAGAATTTGGACTTCGGGTGTTGTCGAGCTGGTGGTTCGTAATGCAGCTACAAGGAATTGATCACTATACGGGATCTAATTTTCTTCTTCTTTTTGTCTTTTGGTTGTGTGCATCCATAATGTCTTTACGACATTGCGTTGTTGCAGAGGTTGGGTGTAATTGGTATCTCCACGATATTAATATATTCCCTTTGTCCAAAATTCTCTTAAAACCTTGTCCACAATGCCACCTTTCTTGTAGGATTTTTTTAAATGGTGTGATATCTTTATGCACCCGTCCCTCCAGCCATGATGACTCCCAAAATTTGGCTTTTGTTCCATCACCAATCATACCTAAGTGGCCGCCACTAATAGATCACTTCATCATTGTTGAATGACATCCACATACTGCACCACACCCTTTGCGGGTCATCCTAGTCAAGCCATAACCATAGTAAGTAAAGCACGATGGCAAACTTTCAATATTAAGAATTTACGGCCGGCAAACTCCTCCAGCTTGCAAACTTGCACCCAGTTAATTTTGCACTTGCCTCCGGTCACATTGTTTGTCCTCGCCCAAAGATAGGCAAACCTCAAGCTATCAATCTTCTTGAAAACCTCCACAAGGGGGTCAAACAGTGTAAGATGGTGTATGGACACAACCCTGAGCACCGCCTTGACCAAGACCATGTGGCCCGCGGTATCAACTTGATTCCTTCTCTAATGTGCTAATTTCCCAGCGGCTTAATCTTCAAAGTGTTGCAAGTGGACCGTCCTTAATATTTTGACCATGAGGGATAGTGCAAGGTAACATATGGGGAAGGATAACATGGCGGGAAGGACTAGAGTGTGCCATCAAGGTTGTTGTTATTGCACCATATAGGTGCAACAGGGCTCTTTCTGCAATTTGTAACAAGGCTGGTAGTATCCTCAAAAGAGGCAGCCATGGTGGAGAGGAATTGGACTTCTTGCTTGATAGAGGCACATAAAACAACCACATTGTCGAGGTAAAGGGAACCACGAATCCACCAAAGGATGAGGTTTTCCTTAGGTCATATACTTGCTAAATATATGGTGCAACGGGTCAATGGAGAGCTCGGACCCCTGAAAATGCCCATGACCATGCTTCGTCGGGTCCTCGGCAATCCCATTGAGCAAAAGTCAAGTAGGGGACAGTCGAGATCCATCCCCGAAAGTGGCCTTGTAAGCCATGGTGACTAAACATTTCAGTAAAATAGCCACACCTAAAGGAATCCAAGGCCTTCTTTATGTTGAGCTTGAAGAGGAGCATATGTGTCTTGATGTGTAAAATCTTCTAGCCACATTGGGCACATAAATGAAGTTATCATGGGTGCTTCTCCTCTTAATGAAAGAACTTTGTGCAATGGAAACAATATCATTCATGTGCAGAGCCAACCTCATGGAAAGGGTTCTATCAATAAGCTTGGCCATGCCATGCATAAGGCTAATAAGCCCAAAATACTCATTTGGTAAACAAAGGGATCAGTTCATGGGAACCAAGCGACAAATCTCGAGGATCACAAATTTTAACTAGGGAGATCCTAACACTCGTTACTTTCACCTAAGGATCAATGGGCGGAGGAGGAAAAATCTTATACATCGTCTCAAACATGGGAGTGAATGGGTAATGGATCATGAATACTACATTAGGTGGATGAAGGGATTAGGATGTCCTCGTGACATACTCGCTCGCCAGCGATGGCATCACATGGACACCTTTGCCACCATGTTCCATCAAAGCATCCTCCATATTGTATTCATGCTCCAGTCATTTCATCCAAAAATCCGAACTGGTGAAGAGAGACGGGAATATGTTTCAACACTTCCCCTCACATCTAGGCTATTTTAGTCCTTAGGCGTGGGATCAATGTAGGTTGTAGAATCTTGTTTAATATTGCGTTGGCAGGGTCTTCAACTTGAGACCTCTTGGCTTAGATACCATATTGAACTCATGCCCCACCAGCACATCCAAAAAACCGAACCATCACCAAATCGTAATCAAGTTTGAAAAGCGTCCAGAGTGTGGCGCTATGTCTGGCAGCCTCTCCTGGAACAGAGCCACGAAGCAGTCAACCTCTTCCCCATTGACCTGTTCAACCTTGCCAATGACTCCCATTCTTTAGCATAGAAGCCTTTGCAGGAGCTGGGCGATGGGAATGACCCTGTTATTGGCACACAGGCATGGGCTATGCTGACTTGTCAAAGTTTGTGACCTTCGTGAGCGTCTCCCTCCTTGTTGTGGGTGACCAGGGCGGTGCGGAACTAGTAGCAGGGAGAATGGGAGGCAACACCGGCACAAAAAGTGGTGCGCCAGGGCAGAGCCCTACCGGGAGCTCAACTAGCATGCAAAGCATCCATCTCCATCGTCATTGGGTTGTTGTCCAAGAGCATTGGGAATGTCGGGAAGCGAGGCGTGACGATGGGTGTGTGATTCTTCATCAGGCCTAAAGAGGAACGTGGGGGGATGCTCGGTGCATGGATTGATGGCATGCATAACTCATCATAGGGCTCATGGCAGTGGGTAAGGAGGCTTGGTGCACGGGCTGGTGATGTGCACATCCGGCGAAGCAGGCCGCGCCTGCATACTGAAGTAGGGTCCGCCTTGCGCAGTCAGTCCAGTCTGGAGGGAGTTGAGGGAGCTCGAGTGTTTTGCAGCCGGCACATCTCTCAAATGATAACACAGAACAGGAACATCTACTCATATTCACCAAATTCAGGAAAACCATAATAAGCAAAAAGCAACAATTTCACAAATAAACAACATCAAATTTTTGGAACATGTGTATCTAACTATCAGCATGTGACTTGTTTTGTCTATATGATTGAACTAATAAAAGTACCACATCTAAAATGCAATTTGTGTGCTGGAACGGCTCTTACTTTAGGAAATACCAAATTGAGACAAGTCTCAAATATGTAGCAGCAATAATTTGACAAATAACCACGACAAAAGAGAATCGGTAATCTTATCTCTATTTGGGGAATGTTCCTGGGGACGAAATCCCAGCAAATGACCCACAGAACACGGGATCAAGATCTGAGGGTGGCAGGTTTTTGATGAAAATGCACTAAATAAACAAAATGACATGCTTTTTGTTGTTATCAAAGATGCCATCCCCCAACACTAAAACTGCCAGTCGCACCGTTTACAAATGCCATCCTGGACAGCGAACGGTCACTGGCTATTGCGCACCAAATTCGGTAACACTTGGGCGACCACTTAGTGGCAAAGAATTTAAAAATTAGGACACACCATGTCAATTAGAAAATTTGGATATTTGTAAGTGCAAGTGTGGTTCTTTATTTACGGATTGAACACATAATTCTTGTACACATATCAAATGCTAATGTGTGGGCATGAACATTGGTCCCTACTAATTTCCCAAAATTACTTAGGTAGTCAATTAGTGACCTAAATGAATAAAGTAATTACCACATTTACTGTGTAGACTAAAGACATGCAATACTACTAACTATTTTTTGGGAGTTAATACCCACCTCCGAATGGTGACCAAACTATAGGTGCAGACTTTTGGACGTATAATCATATGATTCAACTAGTGAAAGTACTACATCTCAAATGCTAATTTGTGGTCTAGAACACCGACTCTTACTTTAGGGATATCAAATTGTGGCAACTCACAAATAGGTAGAAGCAACAATTTGACTAATAATCAACATATTTTTTTAATTTGGTGATAACTTAGTGGCCAAGAATCGATCCCTACTAATTTCCCAAAATTATATGGGTGGTCAATTAGTGGCCTAAATGAAGAAAGTAATTACCACATTTACTGAGTAGACTAAAGACATGCAATCCTACTAACTATTTTTTCGGGAGTTAATACCCACTTTCGAATAGTGGCCAAATTAATAGGTGCAAACTTTTGGATGTATAATCACATGATTCAACTAATGAAAGTACCACGCCTCAAATGCTAATTTGTGGGCTAGTACATTGACTCTTACTTTAGGGATATCAAATTGTGGCTACTCACAAATAGGTAGAAGCAATAATTTGGCAAATAATCAAGAAATATTTTTTAATTAGGTGATCACTTAGTGGCTAAGAATCTCTTCTATACTAGTTAAAAAGAACCTAAGGTTCCCATTTCAGTGTCTCCTTCGTCCAACCTCTATCTATATGTGGTTCCCCCTTCCATTCTCCTATTTGATTTTTTTCTTCTCCCATTATCTCATTTTTCTCTTAGATAATAACATTTTTTGTAAATCAATATTTTTTTACCAAATAAGTGCTTAACAATGAGATGATATTTTGACTCCCATCTCCGATCTTTCTTATAAATAATATTTTCTTTGGTAAGTCAATAAATTCTTACCAAATAAGTGCTTAACAATAACCTAGCACGTAAATCATGACAATTGCATACAAAATCTGGCTAAGATTATAGCACACTAATGTAATAATAGACGTGCAATGACGTGCTAATCTATGAGAATAATTATACTCCTGTTGCAATGCACAAACAATTATCTAGTTTAAAAAATGAGACACCGTGTCAATTACGCCCTCCATGCACAAATATAAGATGTTCTAACTTTTTTCGAATTGTAAGTATATAGATTTGTTTTACCGTGTTTGTTAACTTATTTCAGTCCGTGTAGTCCATATTGAAATATCCAAAACAGCTTATCTTCGTGAACGGATGGAGTAGTAAATTTCCACATTTGTAAGTGCAAGTAATTTTATTTATTTACGGATTGAACACAGAATCCTTGTACACATTTCAAATGCTAATGCATGGGTAAGAACATCAATCCTTATTAATTTTAGAAAATTGCTTCCCTGTAATTCTTTTTCTTCAGAAAATTACTTGGGTGATCATTTAGTGGCGTAAATGAAGAAATTAATTGCCACATTTACTGATTAGACTAAAGACATACAAGACTACTAACTATTTATCTGGAAGTTAATACCCACATCTGAATGGTGACGAATCAGATTAACGCAATGAATAATTTCTTTCCGTAAGCACACTCAATCACAGATCATCAAAATTCCCCAGAAACAAGCTGCTAGTAGGGGCTAGGAAGTTAAGAAATTTAAATTTGGCAAGATCACCTCAATGTTGGGGTCAAGTTGGTTGATCCATCTCTCCCGACATTGCTTCCCGCTTCGGCCGGGGAGGTACAGCGCGACCTTCGCCCACCTCCCTTTGCCGAATTCCTGCACCTTCGCCCTGAGCAGCCTACAACAAAATCACAAAGAAAACTGACGAAGCTGCAGCAGATGAAGGACAAAGAAAAAGGTTTGCAATTTAGGGTTGGATTTTCCACATACGTGTCTTCCTCCATGGCCCACGACCCTTTGAACCGTGTCAGCCCCTGGCCGCTGGATCTGGCACGCAGCAGCGCCCGAGCAGGCACCGCGATTGCCGCAGGGGCGTTGCTGCTCCCATAGCCGAGGAAGCTGGTGGGATCCATCTCCCTGATGCCACCAGAAGCCCTTGATCCGGCACCCGAGACGACGACCACCCCGGGTGAAGCACCACCATCAATATGGACAAAGTGTTGCGCAACACCGCCATGGTCGAAGCTCGTCAAGTGGTTCCCGGCCCCCGAGGCTGCCATGTCCCAATCAAAATAGGCACTCCCTTCAGCCATCAACGCGGCCTCCGAGGTCGGATCGGATCAATGGCAGAAGGAACACCTGCGGTAGAGATGGGGCAAGCAAAGCAAGAAGAAGGGGAGTAGTCTCTGGCTCTTCTGTGGAGAAATGCCTGTATTAGAGATGGGTCAGGGGGTCTGCGCCTGATATAGATGGGGACGGCGCCCCATGCCCCCATCGACTGTCTATTCTCCTGACCCCAGCTCCTCATCAGGCGGCCAGGAGGCGTCCCACATGGCAATAACCTTCTGACTATAGGTTTTCAAGTTCGTTGTGGACCCTATGCACCGGGTGTACGCAGTCTTCGGAGAGGTTTGCGTGGTCCAGGGTGGGTCAGCGTGTCAGTACAGATATGCTGAAGCACAACACCCGTGCCCGTATGGAGGTATGCACGCAAATTCAGGGAAAACGGAATGCATGTTGGCGTGCTTCGTGATCATTTGCAGCTAAGTACAGGGTATATTTGGATATAGCGTGATAAATTTTTCCTAAAATCTTAAAAGTGCACGCGCAATTTCAGGTTGAAACGAGTGGCCGAATGCTCACCGCTCGATCAAACGCGGCCCGGCCCACCCTGCAACAGTGTGCGGGTGATTTTAGCCAACGTAGCAGACGTGTTACTATAGAAAACGCATTAAGTGTAGGAAGAAAGCGGCCAATCAGCTATGCCATGTGACGTAAGCTAGTTGACCGCAGTGAGAAAGCTTTTGGAAAAAAATAGATGGAGGTGAGGATTCTTTTTGAAATGTTTTTTCCTTTTTAGATGGAGGTGAGGACCCCCATGTATTATTTTAAATGGAGGGCTATGCAAACTGGGGCTCACTGGTAGGCTCCGGTGGTAATTTTTTCTTCATCAATGATTTTTTAGGGTTTGTTGTTTGGTTGCCCGCATTTTTACTTCAGGGGTGAGCAGATGCAAACCATAGTTGTTTGGCTGTGTGCACGTATTTGTTATGCTCACCCCTTTCAAATGTGGTGGTCTACCACTCAAATGCAACACAAGAACAAACATCACATATATAGAAACATCACTACCTAATTAAAGCACACGGCATATAAACAACCGATAAACAATGTATATTAGTAGGGGATAATTTTTAAGACAACAGGGACATCGCGCAACCCTAGGGTGTTAATCCCTGGGCAAAATATAGACGGTTTCATAACACAAGTTCAAACCATCAACACTAACAAGATCATACTAACTACTTCAAAATAATGGGCGATCTAGAGGGCAAGACTGATGTTGTTGATGCAGTTGTGCTGCTGACAGCGGACCCTACACATGATGGAGTTATTCTGCTTGAAGATTTGCACCTTCATGCCAAGGCCAGAGAACCGCAGGACAAGGAGGCCGTCGAGGACGATCCTATAACGGCGGCAGAAGTATTGCCAGCCCCTCCCAAGGACCATTTGGTCTTGGTGAAGGAAATATGCCCTAGAGGCAATAATAAAGTTGTTATTTATATTTCCTTATATCATGATAAATGTTTATTATTCATGCTAGAATTGTATTAACCGGAAACTTAGTGCATGTGTGAATACATAGACAAACAGAGTATCCCTAGTATGCCTCTACTTGACTAGCTCGTTAACCAAAGATGGTTAAGTTTCCTGACCATAGACATGTGATGTCATTTGATGAACGGGGTCACATCATTAGAGAATGATGTGATGGACAAGACCATCTGTTAGCTTAGCATAATGATCGTTTAGTTTTATTGCTATTGCTTTCTTCATGACTTATACATGTTCCTCTGACTATGAGATTATGCAACTCCTGAATACCAGAGGAACACCTTGTGTGATATCAAACGTCACAACATAACTGGGTGATTATAAAGATTCTCTACAGGTGTCTCTGATGGTGTTTGTTGAGTTGGCATAGATCGAGATTAGAATTTGTCACTTCGTGTATCGGAGAGGTATCTTTGGGTCTTCTCAATAATGAACATCACTATAAGCCTTGCAAGCAATGTGACTAATGAGTTAGTTATGGGATGATGCATTACGGAACGAGTAAAGATACTTGCCGGTAACGATATTGAACTAGGTATGATGATACCGACAATCGAATCTCGGGCAAGTAACATACCGATGACAAATGGGAATGACGTATGTTGTTATGCGGTTTTACCGATAAAGATCTTCGTAGAATATGTAGGAGCCAATATGAGCATCCAGGTTCCACTATTGGTTATTGACCAGAGATGTGTCTCGGTCATGTCTACATAGTTCTCGAACCCGTAGGGTCCGCACGCTTAACGTTCGATGACGATTTGTATTATGAGTTATGTGATTTGATGACCGAAGTTTGTTCGGAGTCCCGCATGAGATCACGGACATGATGAGGAGTCTCGAAATGGTCGAGAGGCAAAGATTCATATATTGGAAGGTTGCATTTGGACATCAGAATGGTTTCGAGTAGTTCGGGGATTTTTCCGGAGCACCGGGAGGTTACCGGAACCCCCCGAGGGAGTTAATGGGCCTTAGTGGGCTTTAGTGGAGAGAGGGAAGAAGGGCCACGAGGTGGTGTGTGCCTCCCCTTGCCCAAACCGAATTGGACAAGGGGTGGGGGTGCGGACCCCTCCTTCCTTTTCCTTCTCCCCTCCTTCCTTTCCCTCCGGTGGAATAAAGGAAAAGGGGGGGCGAATCCTACTTGGACTCTTGGACTAGGAGTCCAAGTAGGACTCCCCCCTGGCGCGCCCTTCCTGGCCGGCCTCCTCTCTCCCTCCCTCGTTTATATATGTGGCCAGGGGGCACCCCAATAGCACAACAGACAATCTCTTAGCCGTGTGTGGTGCCCCCTCCACAGTTCAACACCTCGGTCATATCATTGTAGTGCTTAGGTGAAGCCCTACGTTGGTAACTTCATCATCATCGTCGCCACACCGTCATGCTGATGGAAATCTCCCTCGTCCTCAACTGGATCAAGAGCTCGAGGGACGTCATCGTGTTGAACGTGTGCTGAACACGGAGGTGTCATACGTTTGGTACTTGGATCGGTTGGATCGTGAAGACGTTCGACTACATCAACCGCGTTACTAAACGCTTCCGCTTTCGGTCTACGGGGGTACGTGGACACACTCTCCCTTCTTGTTGCTATGCATCTCCTAGATAGATCTTGCATGATCGTAGGAAAAAATTTGAAATATTGTGTTCCCCAACAGTGGCATCCGAGCCAAGTCTATGCGTAGATGATATATGCACGAGTAGAACATAAAGAGTTGTGGGCGATAATAGTCATACTGCTTACCACCAACATCTTACTTTGATTCAGCGGTATTGTTGGATGAAGCGGCCCGGACCGACACTACATGACCGCGTTCATGAGAATGGTGAAGGAAATATGCCCCAGAGGCAATAATAAAGTTATTATTTATTTCCTTATATCATGATAAATGTTTATTATTCATGCTAGAATTGTATTAACCGGAAACATGATACATGTGTGAATACATAGACAAACAGAGTTTCACTAGTATGCCTCTACTTGACAAGCTCGTTGATCAAAGATGGTTATGTTTCCTAGCCATAGACAAAGAGTTGTCATTTGATTAACGAGATCACATCATTAGGAGAATGATGTGATTGACTTGACCCATTCCATTAGCTTAGCACTTGATCGCTTAGTTTGTTGCTATTGCTTTCTTCATGACTTATACATGTTCCTATGACCATGAGATTATGCAACTCCCGTTTACCGGAGGAACACTTTGTATGCTACCAAACGTCACAATGTAACTAGGTGATTATAAAGGTGCTCTACAGGAGTCTCCGAAGGTACTTGTTGGGTTGGCGTATTTCGAGATTAGGATTTGTCACTCCGATTGTCGGAGAGGTATCTCTGGGCCCACTCGGTAATACACATCACTTAAGCCTTGCAAGCATTGTAACTAATGAGTTAGTTGCGGATGATGTGTTATAGAATGAGTAAAGAGACTTGTCGGTAACGAGATTGAACTAGGTATTGTGATACCGATGATCGAATCTTGGGCAAGTAACATACCGGTGACAAAAGGAACAACGTCTGTTGTTATGCGGTTTGACTGATAAAGATCTTCGCAGAATATGTAGGAGCCAATATGAGCATCCAGGTTCTGCTATTGGTTATTGACCGGAGATGTGTCTCGGTCATGTCTACATAGTTCTCGAACCCGTAGGGTCTGTACGCTTAAAGTTAGATGACGGTTATATTATGAGTTTATGTGTTTTGATGTACCGAAGGAAGTTCGGAGTCCCGGATGTGATCACGGACATGACGAGGAGTCTCGAAATGGTCGAGACATAAAGATTGATATATTGGAAGCCTATATTTGGATATCGGAAATGCTCCGGGTGAAATCGGGATTTTACCGGAGTATCGGGGGTTACCGGAACCCTCCCCCCTGGGGGGGGGGGGGGTTAATTGGCCAAGATGGGCCTTAGTGGAGAATAGGAGGGGCGTCTAGGGCAGGTCGCGCGCCCCCTCTCCTTCTAGTCCGAATTGGACAAGGAGGGGGTGGCGCCCCCCTTTCCTTCCTCTCTCCCTCCTCCTTTGCCCTTCTGCTACTCCAACTAGGAAAGGAGGGAGTCCTACTCCCAGTGGGAGTAGGACTCCTCCCTGGCGCGCCTCCTCCTGGCCGGCCGCCTCTCCCCCCTTGCTCCTTTATATACGGGGGCAAGGGCACCTCTAGACACAACAATTGATCTCTTGGGTCTCTTAGCCGTGTGCGGTGCCCCCCTCCACCATAGTCCACCTCGATAATATCGTAGCAGTGCTTAGGCGAAGCCCTGCGTTGGTAGAACATCATCATCATCACCACACCGTCGTGCTGATGGAACTCTCCCTCAAAGCTCGGCTGGATCGGAGTTTGAGGGACGTCATCGAGTTGAACGTGTGCTGAACTCGGAGGTGTCGTACGTTCGGTAATTGATCGGTCGGATCGTGAAGACGTACGACTACATCAACCGCATTGTGCAAACGCTTCCTCTTTCGGTCTACGAGGGTACGTGG